CGGGCGCGGGGGGCGTGTTTGCGCGTCTGGGGGTGGCAGGCGGAGTGGGTCCCAGGGCGGGCGTGGGGGGCTGTTTGCGCGCTCTCGGGTTCCGGGTGGGCCCGGCGCCCGTCTGGGCACTGCCCGCGGGGCTCGGGGTGTGCGGGACTGTGTGCGTGCGCGCGCGTGTTTGTGGCGAGGGGCCGCCGGGTGTGTATCTGCGTATGCGCTGGGCCGTCATTGTGCCTGCCCCGGGCGCCGGGCGCGGGCCTGCCCCAGCGCAGTCCCTCCCGCGCGGGGATGTTTTCCAAACAGGCTTCCTGCGGAGACGGGCTCTGCTGCAGCCCCAGCCGGAGGGGGGAGCGCCGCCCCCACAGGCCTCCAGAGACCCGGGCGGCCCTGGGACTGCAGACAGACACCTGGGGGAGGGAGTGGGCGCGCACCCGGGAGGGGTCCAGAGGCCTGCCCGCCGGCTGAGGCCAAGGTGGGGAGACTGAGGCAGATGGATGGGGAGAGGAATGTGGCCAGACAGACGGAGATGGGGAGGAGGGTGGGAAGAGAGACGGTGAAAAGGACAGCCCAGGAGGACAGAGAGTCATTGAGAAAAAAGACAGACAGACAGAGGCCTAGACCTGCAAAGGGGCTGAATGATTAAGATGGATAGATAGATTCCCAAAACCCGACAGAAGGGTTACTCAGAGGCACTGGGGCCAAGAGCCAAATCCAGGAACTGAGTCTAAGATGAGGAATAAGGGTCCTCTCTAACTCTTGAGGTGTCCCTCTTCCAAGCAGATCCCAGACTGGTGTCCTGGCCAGAAAGAAGCCTCTGGCCACCCCATGTTGGTCCACCGGTTGGCCCCACCGAACATCCTGACCCTCTGAATGTGGGGCCCTCTCCTCTTGGTTACATCCCACCCATTTCCCTTCCCTGGTATCCCAGCAACCCCGGGACAGTTTAAAGGAGGCAGAGGTGGAGCAGTTGCCATAGCAACAGAGGTGGTGAAAGGTCACTTCGGCCTTAGCCTAGGTGGCCCTGCAGCAGGCCTGAGCTGGCGTTGAGGGGGTTGGGATGGGAGGTTGCAAAATTCTTTTTCTCCTCTCCCACTCTGCCCAGAATGGTGCTAGAAGGAAACCCTGAAGTGGGGTCTCCCCGAACCTCAGATCTCCGGCATCCAGGGAGCCAGGGCTCTTGTGTCCTCTCTTCTGGTGAAGATGCACAGCCAGGCGAGGAGCCCATCAAGTATGGCGAACTCATAGTCCTGGGGTGAGCGACCCTGGTCCAGGTGGGGCAGGGCACCAGGCACCCCCCAGGGCAACCAGACCAAGGGCCCCAGCTCTCCCCACATATGACCTTCTGCTGTTTGTCCCTTCTCACCTTCCCAACTGAGAGACAGAATTGACCAAACCCACCACAATTCCTGTTATTTTATTTTCCCATTTTTTATAAATTGCTGAGAAAACTCTAACTGCCCACCTAAGTTTCCGATCAGAAAAGAAGTAGCACCATCTGCCTTTCATAAAGCACCTAGCGTATGTAGTCCGGGGTGAAGAACTCTGGTTCTCCAGCAAAAATGCTTGGTTCAAATCCTGCCTCTGCAAGTTGCTTAACTTCCCTGTGCCTCCATTTTCCCATCTTACAAATAGGGACGATAATAATACCTCAGAGGGTTGTCAGAGGAATGAATGAGGTGATTTCTGTAAAGCACGTAGGACGGTGCCTGGCACATATCAAGTGTTCTGGGAGGCAGGCTTGTGCCAAGCCCTTTCATGGACATTATTTCATTTCAATCTTCACAAAGATGCTGTGAGGAAGGAGGTGAGGAAACCGAGGCTCAGAGAGGGGAAGTGACTGGTCCAAGGGCACACAGCTGGTAAGTGGCAGGGCTGGGATTCGGACCTAGGTCTTTCTTACTCTAGGTCTAGTGCACTTTGACTAAGCCGCAGCTGATCCTCATGCTACAGATGAGAAACCTGAGGCCAGGAGAGGGGAAGCGATGTGAGTTGGTGGCTAGACCTCACCCCTTCTTGGTCTCCGCCTGACCAGGATCCTTGCATCACCCAGTAGCACTGCCCCCAGGCACAGATCCCTCTTCTTATTCCCCCATCCACACCTCCTTTTGGCCTCTCTCTCTGCCATCTGCCCAGAAGATATTTGATAAGCTATGCTATCATTATGATTATTTAGAAATAATAATGGCCACTGTTTGCTGACATGTATATACCATGTGCTTTTTCCTAATAAGTTAACATTTATCAACGGCTTGCTATATATATGTCAAACCCCGTGCCAAGCGTTTTTAAATGCTTTATGTCATTTAGTTCTCACAATGAACCTGCGAGGTAGGTCCTGATTAATTAGCACCATTTTACAGAGGTCATGTGATAAGTGGAAGAGCCAGGATTTAAGCCAGGCCCATCTGAGCCCCGAGCCTGTGTCCAGAACTGCCCCACACCCCATAAGTGGGAAGAACTTCTGAGGCCAAAAGTGATTTTGCCCCTCTCAGGGCTGCTCGCAGGAGAAAAACAGCTGCTTGGTGTCCCAAAGGAAGGGCAGATTTTCCAGCTGAGGGCGAGGCCACCGATGAGGGAGAGTGCAGACCTAAGGGTAGAGGCCCTCTTGGCAGCTGTTTTTTCTCAGTAGAGCAGTGAAGCCCCACACTGGCTATAGAGCCACCCAGAGAGCGTATTGAAAAGCCCCACTGATAGTCCCATCCCCAACCTACAGAATCTGAATCTCCATGGGTGGAGCCAGGGAATCTACATTTTAACAAGCTCAAGAGAAAACTCTGATTCAAGTGGTCTTTGTCTGTATTTGGCAGCTCTTCATCCTGCTACTCCCTGCTCCAGAACCTTCCGTGGCTCCCTAGTCTCGCAGAATAAAGTCCAGACTCCTAAGCTTGGTGTTCAGGGCCCTTCCGCCAGCTTCATCTGCCTCTACTTAAGTTCACACCCAAGTCACCACTCCCTGATCTCACCAAACCCTGCCAGCCTCAGGCCCTTTGCTTGGGGTGAGCCTTCCCTCTGGAAGGGCTTCTGCAAGAGAGGCCGGAGTCAGACAGACCCGAGTTCCAATCTCTGACTTTTTCACTTACTAGCCTGGGACCTCGGGCAGGTCATTTTACCTCCCTGAGCCTCAATTTTCCTCATCTGTAAAATGGGAAGAAAGATACTTGCCTGGCAGGACATTGCATGGATTCCATTAGTAATTAATAACGTGAAACACCAGGAACACAGGAGGCTCCAGTACATGACAGTGATCAAGGCTGTGACTCACCCCATCTTTGCCTTCCACAGTCAGTCCCTCCGGATAAAAGCTGGAAGGAAGGTAGAAATTTGACATGTATGGATATATGGAGGTGGTGGCATTGTGGGTCTGTTTTTTCTTTCATTCTGGTTTCCAGTCGTACTTGTGGTGTCGTAAATGATAGTTTGCTGTAAAGGTGAATCCTTTCCAGTTCTTCAAGGCCTAGTAAATGTGTTAGCCCTCTCAGAAACCTGATCTGAGCATTCCTTTCTCCTGCCTCTGGGCCTGTGGTGCAGTTGGTGCCCTGCTTCCTTGAAAAGCTCAGGACACCCCTTCTCTGCCAGCGAGGGGACAGAACTGACCTGCGATGTGCCCTCTGTGGCACCCCAGGGCCCTGCAGCTGACCAGTCAGGTGTCCAGGAAACCTGGATAATTGAATGAAAGGCCTTTTAAGATATTCTGCCCCTTACTCTACTCCCCAAGCGCACTGATTTGATAGCGTAGGGTCTCCTAGTTTCAGGTGGTTGTAGGGCTTGTTTATGAAGGGAGACTCTGCCCAGAAGTTGGCAGTTCCTCCAAATCTCTCAGGGGCTCACTTTCTCTCTCTCTCTCTCTCTTTCTCCCTGCAACCCCTTCTTTTTAAACCCCTACATCCACAGCTACAATGGGTGTCTGGCAAGTGGGGACAAGGGTCGCCGGAGAAGCCGCCTGGCGCTGAGCCGCCGGCCCCATGCCAACGGCGTGAAGCCCGACGTCATGCACCACATCTCCACACCGCTTGTATCCAAGGCAAGCAGCTTGTCCCAGTGGACCTGGACAGAGGTCCTGCGCTGCCCGCCCAAGTCCCAGGTCTTCGGCCTTCCCGGTCCTACCCACCCACGGCCCCACCAGAACAGGGGAGCCCACCATGTCCTCACTCGCTGCCTTGGGCTGCCAGAGAAATGGTGCCGAGGGGAGATCCTTTGTAATGTACTATGCATCACAGTTTGCAGAATGTTTCTTTGATGACCAGACCCCAGTCACTGCATGGAAATGATCAGCATCATTTCGAGGCAGCCACAGCTCAGAGAAGGGACGTGACAATCACACAGCAATGACAAAGGAAAAGCCTTTGGCTTCAGAGGACTTGGGTTGAGATACAGGCTCTCCTGTGTCCAGCTGTGTGTCTTTAGGCCAGTTTCTTCTCCCCTCTGAGCTGCGGTTCCCTCCACTGTAAAATGGGCATGATAATGATGTCTCCTTCTTGGGGTGGCTATAGGGGTCAAATAAGGTAACCTGCGTATAATGCCGGCTGCCCAGTACATCCTCGGCAAGGGTAGAGCTGCCCCTTCGCTGGCCTTGGCCAGTGGGCTTTGGGTTCCAGCCTCTGACTCCGAGGCTCACACTTCTCCTGGCCACATGCCCTGGGAAGTGACTTCTCCTTTCTCCCCACCAGGCACTGAGTAACCGCGGCCAGCACAGCATCTCGTACACGCTGTCCCGGAGCCACTCGGTCATCGTCGAGTACACACATGACAGCGACACGGACATGTTCCAGGTATGGCTCAGGCCCCTCTGTGCGCCTCTTGGCCACTGGGCCACCAGGCCTCGATGTGCAGCTCTGCGGGCATTCCAGGGTGAACCTGGAAGACTGAAGGCCGTGGTGAAGTTGCTTTGGGGGCACTCAGTGTAATCGACTACACTCCAGATGAAGAAGTGGGATGTCCAAGGAGGGCTGTTGACTTCCTGGAGTCACACAGCAAATCAGTGGCTACATCAAAATTTAAAACCCAGGACCAGACACCCAGGCCACGGGAGGCCATGCAGCTTAGGGGTTCAGAGTGTGGCGTGAGAGTCATACTGCCTGGGTCAGATCCCAGCTCCATCACCTACCAGCTAGGTGACTTTGGGCAAGAATCACTTAACGTACTCGCTCTGGGCCTCAGTTTCCTCATCTGTACAGCAGGGCCAATAACGTACAATTATCGGGGTTCAGAGTGTGGCGTGAGAGTCATACTGCCTGGGTCAGATCCCAGCTCCATCACCTACCAGCTAGGTGACTTTGGGCAAGAGTCACTTAACGTACTCGCTCTGGGCCTCAGTTTCCTCATCTGTACAGTGGGGCCAATAACGTACAATTATCGGGTAGATTAGCGGAGGTATTGTACATGAAGTGCTTGGCATGGTATCTAGTACATACAAAAAATTTGCTATTTGCTGCTAATGTTTGGGCACTCCCAGACTGGGTGTCACCTTTTCACTGGTCTATCAAATAAATCAACTCATTTTTATTGAGTGGGGGAGACAGAGAAGACCCCAGACCCCAGGGACTGGATTTGGCGACTCCAGCTGAGAGCCCAGAGGGCTCCTCCTCATTATTTGGTGACCCTACAAGCGGAGCAGCTGCTGGGAACCCGGTGGGAGGGTTGGGAAGCCCGTGGGATTGACCTGCACACACGGCACCCCTGTACTTGCTCTCCCCTTCCTCACAGATCGGCCGCTCCACGGAGAACATGATCGACTTTGTGGTAACAGACACATCCCCCGGAGGAGGGGCTGCTGAGGGCCCCTCAGCCCAGAGCACCATCTCCCGCTATGCCTGCCGCATCCTCTGTGACCGCCGGCCACCCTATACTGCCCGCATCTACGCCGCTGGTTTCGATGCCTCCAGCAACATCTTCCTTGGAGTGAGTGAGCCCACCCCCAGGCAGGGACTGGCACCTCATCTGAGAGTGAGCAGAGGGGTAGGGGAGGGACGGGCAGCGCCCTGGGGGGATGGACCAGCCCGGCAGTCGTCCTAACCATGACCTGGGCTGGCATTAGTGATGCCACTTAAAAAATGAGCACCGTGAGGCTCCGAGAGTTCAGGCGATGCCCATGGCCGTGCAGCGTCCATTCTGGTCCTCTCTGGGCCACCTCTGACCTTGAGGGTAAAGGGGCAGCATCCGTGGCTGACAGCCTGCCGGGGGGCCACTCGGGGATATGATCTGATCCCGCATGTGGTCCCAGGAGCGGGCGGCCAAGTGGCGGACCCCTGACGGCCTGATGGATGGCTTAACCACCAATGGTGTCCTGGTGATGCACCCAGCGGGCGGCTTCTCTGAGGACTCGGCCCCGGGTGTCTGGAGGGAGATATCAGTCTGTGGGAATGTGTACTCTCTGAGGGACAGCCGCTCTGCACAGCAGCGAGGGAAGCTGGTAGGTGGCCTGCTCCATGCCCACCCCCTCCCCTCATCCCTCCCGGGCCCTTCCCCCTAATCTCCTGCCCTCCGATACAAGGGAGCCCCATCAGGCTCCGTCTGGGGGCCATGCACCACTTGCCCCACAGAGAGGGCCAGACCACGGTCCCCAAAACATAGCCCACATATTGCTGGAGGTCCGTGGGGTGGCGTGTGGTAGAGCAGACATAAACACTGCGGTACCAAGTGACTTTAGGGATGCCGGCAGCTGAAAAAATCACAGCCTCTTACGAGGATGACACTTGGCCCATGTGTGAGCAGTTTATAGCCTAAAGTGTTGACAGTCTGTAACGTGTCTCTCACGTTCAGACAGATTTAGCCTTATTATCCTTGCCTAGCGGGGAAGGGCCCTTGGAGGAGTTCTGACAGAGGTGACGGTGAAGGCTCCACATGGCACAGATCAGAGAACCAAGGTTCGGAGCCAGGAGAGAGTCCTAGAGAGACGTCGGGGCCAGCCCAAGGTCATGTGGCCAGGCTGCTCAAATGGGCCATGCAGAGCCATTCCAGCGTATGAGCACATGGGGCCAGTGGAGGCGAAATCTCAGGGAAGAGCACGGCTTCTCTCTCCAGAGCATCGATTCTACCGGGAGAGTTGGGGAAACGTTATTTTTAAAAACTGTGCCTGTGAATTTCACTAGCATTCACTTGTGGAGTACCTACTATGTTCCAGGTTCCGTTCCAAGCGTTTGCAATGGTTGATTCGTGAGAACCACTTGAGATAACGGGAAGCATGGGAAGTAGCATCCATCCCGAGGATAAGGAAATTAAGACCCAGAGAGGTTGAGTTACTCGACCAGGGATGCAGAGTTAGTCAGCAGTGAAGCCAGAATTCACACCCAGGCCGGCTAGCTCTAGAGTCCTTGCTTTTAACCACAGCCATGAGGACAGCTGCCGTGGGCCGAGTCCCCCGTGTTTCAGATAGAAGAGTTTCCCACTGTGCCCTCAGAGGAGAGCCTGGGTCTCATTTTGGTCCAGATCTCCTGATTTGACAGATGAAGTGATCAAGGCCCACGTCCCACTGTGAGGGACAGCGCATGCCTGGGAGCATTGACTTGCCCTCCCACGTGGCTTCTTAGCCCTCCTGGCCCCTCTGCCTCTGTCCTCACTCCTCCTCTGCCCCAGGCCTCCCCTCTCCTCTGCCCTAGCCCCCTGTCCAGGGTGTTCTCTCCAGGGAGGTTTGGTGGGATGGACAGGTGGCTTGGCTGGGGTGATGGCTGCCCGACGGCCAGGGGTTTGGTGCCCTCTTGAGCAGTAAGGCCCTTCTGCTGTCTCTGGCAGGTGGAAAACGAGTCCAATGTGCTGCAGGACGGCTCCCTCATTGACCTGTGTGGGGCCACTCTGCTGTGGCGCACACCAGCAGGGCTGCTGAGGGCACCCACACTGAAGCAGCTGGAGGCCCAGCGGCAGGAGGCGAACGCGGCCCGGCCCCAGTGCCCTGTGGGCCTCAGCACCCTGGCCTTCCCCAGTCCGGCCCGGGGCCGCACGGCACCCGACAAGCAGCAACCCTGGGTCTACGTCCGGTGTGGCCACGTCCACGGCTACCACGGCTGGGGCTGCAGGAGAGAGCGGGGCCCCCAGGAGCGAGAGTGTCCTCTCTGTCGCCTCGTGGGGCCCTATGTCCCCCTGTGGCTTGGCCAGGAGGCCGGCCTCTGTCTGGACCCTGGGCCACCCAGCCATGCCTTTGCACCCTGCGGCCACGTCTGTTCCGAGAAGACTGCCCGCTACTGGGCCCAGACACCACTGCCCCATGGCACCCACGCTTTCCACGCTGCCTGCCCCTTTTGTGGCGCCTGGCTTACCGGCGAGCATGGCTGCGTCCGCCTCATTTTCCAGGGACCGCTGGACTAGGCTTCCCCAGGCCCCGGCTGCCATGCCCACCTGCCCACCTAGGTCCCCCACCTCCTGCAGCCCAGAGGGAGCTCTGCATGTGGGACTCTACCCGCTGGTGCATAGCCACACCAGATGGACGTGTTGGATGGGCTGTGCTCCTCCCCTCTTAACTCTGGTCCCTGAAACCCCTACCCCAGTCAGAATGACGGGGCCCTCAGCACCAGCTCTGTCCTGGGCTGATGGAGGGAAGCCCACCCCTATGCCCTGGCCCTTCCTGGGGTGTCCCACGTCATGCCGCCTACACTGTGTCCCTGGGGGAGTGAAGGGGCCATGGGTCCCTGACCCCCAGCTTAGGCTGGCTGTGCCCTGAGCCTGCCGACCCAGCTCCAGATATTCACCCTGCTGCTGCCCTGGGTTCCTCTATAAACCTCGCTGCTCAGCTGCCCTCACAAATCCCACGTGTCCAGCATGCGTGCAATGCTGCCAGCCCCCGCATGAGTGACGGGTGGGCAGCAGGCTGGGGCCGGCATCTGCTGATACCCACTATGGGCTGGACTCCGTGCCAAGTGGGCTCTGGAAACACAGAGACGATCAGACTTGGTTCCCTGCCCGGTGGAATTCACAGTCTAGCGGACGACAGACCAAATTGCCGGACGACAACACAGTTTCCTGCGTACCAGCAGCAGAGAGTCATCAAGGGCTGTGGAGCAGGTCTCCCAAGCGGGCGGGAGAGTGAGGGGGGCTCGCGTGGGAACTCCCCACCGAAGGGGATGGCGCTCTGGGCAGGGGGGAGGCTGAGCACGGGCTCAGGTGTGAGGAAGGAGGGACCTGAGTGAGGGGTTGAGCGGCTGGAGCAGAGGCACTAGTGGGGGCAGAAAGAAGGCTGGAGCAAGACGTTACGGGCTGCGCTGACGCTGGATGGAGGCTTTGGAACCTCGCTTGTGGACAGTCAGGAGCGGAGGGAGGAGAGAGGACTCGCGCTCCCAGAGTGCTGGCTGTGACGGAAGGGCTACTATTACCAAGTGCCCACCATGCCCTGCGCGGTGCCACTTCTGCTCATAACTATGTTAATGGAGCATGAACCAGGAGGCTTTGCTGTTTAATCCTCACAGTAACCCCGGGGAGGGGGAGGTGTTACCATTTCTGTTTACGGGGAGATTAAGGCACATGCGCCAAGTCACACAGCTAGAAAGTGGCCAAGCCGGGATTCAAACCCGTGACTGCCTGCCTGGCCTCAGCCTGACCTCCTCCATCACACCGTGCTGCTTTCCTTGGACGGGGGTGGGAGAATGGGGAGGGCAGCTCAGGTCACCGGAACTGCATGTGCAAACATGTGGCAGGGACCATGCTTGACCGACCAAGGGGCCAGGTCTGGAGCAGCAGAAAAGAGACATGGGGGGTGAGGACATTGGGCTGAGGCCTGATGGCCCCCGGTTGCCATGGAGACCAAGTCCGAACTGGACCCTTACTCATCTTGGCTAAGTGGCACCTCTCTCTGAGAGCCAAGGCAGGCTCAGTGTGCTGCTGGGGTTGCTTTCAGACCATTCCTGGGGGGAGCAAGCTAGGGAGACCAGCAGATGGAGGTTCTGGAGTATAAAAAATTTCTGAAAATGAGGCTTCTAAGTACAGGCCTGACCTGGGCATCATCCCCAGTTGAAGACAGCCGCTAGAGCCTTAGGGAGTATAGATTCCAAGGGGAGGGCCTGCTGCAGGTCACACAGGTGGTAGGGGCCACAGAGACCAGACCCAGGGCTCTCGATAGGACAGAGGGCTCCTGTGGGTGGTGAAAAGGGGATGTGATGAGATTCCTGCTCCCGGAGCATCACATGCCACAGTGGGGGAGCCAAGATGGGGCTGCCTGATCAGGCAGATGTGAGAATACACACACACGCACATACCACTGGGAATCCAGTTCTCTCTTCTGACCCTGTTGGGAGCCAGGTAGGGGATGTTCCGCTTCTGTTTCCAGCAAGGAGAGGAAGGAGGAGAGACAAGCAAAGAGCATGGTACCACCCCAGGGAGAACTTGGAGGTAGTGATGGAGGGTAAGACAGCCCTGATCTTGGCCCACCTCTGCCCCTTTCCAGCTCTTGGAGCCTCAGTCTCCTCACCTGTTAAATGGAATAGCAATTTTTATATCACCAGATGGCTGTGAATGTACTGAGAGCCCTGTAATACAGTAGGTATTTAATGTTACTTCCTCACCTTCCCTTCCTGCATTTCCATAGGGAAGAACCAAGGCTAGGGATGGTCGTGACTCCAGTGAGTAGACTTCGTATGATTATATGCGTGTGTGCGCTGGGGCCAGTGGAGGGGACAGTGTGGTGGAAGTTCTCAGGAAGGCTAGATCCCGGTTCAGGGACACCTGAGGATAGCCTGGGTGTCCTAGGGAAGTCAATGAACCTATTAGCCTCAGTTTCCCCATCTCCTACAATGGGTAAAGTGATGATATCCTATCAGGGTTGTTACAAGAATGAAATATCCTCCATGTCAAGCTGTTAACACAGGACCTCGTGTATTAACTGTGAACATAAAAACGCTGCTTGTTTGAGAATGCCAGGAATACTGGGATCTTTTACTAGCCTGAGCTGCCCATTGGTGGCTAGAGAGCACTACCTCCTTTGCTGGTGCCCATCTCAAATTCACCCAAGTCAGGGGAGTATACCCATTTTAAAGACAATAAAAATTGAAGCACAGGAAGAAGAGGTGGGACTTTCCTAAGGACACAGAGAATTTATTGAGCTTGAGCTCCTCCCTGTGATGATAATGGTCACTAGAGCCAACAGCAGCATTGTTGTGTCAAGCAGGCCTTTGGGCACTTTCATAAATGAGCAACTGGCATCAATGGTGGGCAGATGCAGACACAGGTGTGGCAAAGGTAGGGCAAGGAGAGTGTGTGGATTTCAGGTATTCCCTTTCTCCAGCCCCTCTGGGCATAACACTAGGGAGCAGACTGCCCAGTCATGAGTTCACTCAGGGCTACAGCATCCTTCGGAGTGGAGACAATTGTTAGCTGGGTTTTCTGGCTGAGGAAGACTCAGAGAGGTAAAGTGTCCCACCCAAGGCCACACAACCAGTAGATGATGGGGGCCTGATTGGACCTTAGATGGCCTGCCTCTGCCCACGCTGACCCAGGCCCCTCTCAATGCTCCCCACTGAGCCCAGGCCTGGTGCCAGCACTTGGACATGCCATGCCCAACCCAGGTCGTCCTCTTGTGAGTCCATCCAGACGTGCAAAGGTGGACCTCAGGCCCAGCTCTGTCCTGGGCAGCCTTTTGGGGTCACAGGCAGCTCTCCCTTCCATCAGGCATCGGGCAAGCACCAACCAACTCCAGGCCCCTCGTCTCTTTGTGCTGAGGAAACTGAGGCTCAGAGATGTTTAGCGGCTGCCTTCCAAGCCCCCGCGAATCGATGGCGGGGCAGTGAAGCACTTGTCCCCGCACGGGGGTGATCGCCTCAGCTCAGGCCCGGCAGCTGGCCTTGTAGGTTCGCAGTGTCCTAAGAGTCTCCACCCTTAACCCTCGAATCCAGTGAGGGAGAGGGAGTCACATCACTTCCAGAGCGCAGGTTCCCACCTGCAAAACTGAGGTCCGGGGACCCAAAGGAGAGCGGCGCTGGGGCTCTGTGGGGAAGTCCCTGCCGGTCCGTACCTGACACCCATGCCGCCCCGCACGGACTCGAAGGGACCCTGTCAGCCCGGTCTGCCGGGACTGGGCCGCGCCCAGGCCGGCCACTCAGTTTCCCGGCCGCCGAGCCTGCACCCTCGCGGACAAAGGCTAGGGCCGCAGGGGCCGTCCCGCCGGCGGCCCAGTAGGGCCCGGGAGCGGGGAGCCGCGGGCCGGCGGAGCGCGCCGTGGTGCGCCTATTGGCTGGAGCTGACGCCCATCCGGGCCCCGAAGCCCGGCAATTGGCCGCGGGGGGCGGAGTTCGTGGAGCCCCAATGAATGGGGGAGCCGGAAGCAGGAAGTGAGTTTGCGATGAGAGCAGCTGCTGCAGGTGAGGAGCGGCGCCCGGGTTTCGGGGTCACAATGCGTCATCCTCGGGGGACAGGGCGAGTCTGGACCGAACGCAAGATTATTCTGTTTCTGCCTTTCATCCAGTACCCCTTCCACATTCATCGCGGCCCCGAGGCCAAGGAACCCTCCCGGGCAGCAAAGAGTTAACCCCGAGGGTTGTGCTACTGGGGCGGAGCATCCGGAGTGGTGGGGGAGGCTGGACACTCATTCGGGTTAAGGGAGGGCGGTGTGGAAAATGCGCTGGGTTGGGAGATCCCGGGTCCCAGCGGAACTGTGAGACTTCGGTAAGTTTCGTGGCCTCTCTAAGCCTCAGTCTCTCTGTCTGTAAAATGAGTTTTCTTCCAGCTCCGAACTAATGTGGCTCTGTAGCTCCCCTGGCGAAGCACAGGGAGACGGTGGGAGGATGGAGGGCCAAAGAAAAGGCATTTAGAAGGATGAGAGTGAGACAGATTGCACACCCTCCTGATGAGGTTGGCCTTATTATCACCCCCATTTTACAGAGGTGGAAACTGAGGCACAGAAAAGTGAAACAACTGACTTGGTTTTAGGAGTCTAGGGTTGAACCAGGTTTGGAACCTGGGTCTTCCAGCTGGTAGCCTGGAACTCTGTCCTTGTGAACACAGTGGTGGGTGGAATTGAAGAACTTACAGGAGAATTCTGAAGAGGAGGCTAGGAAGTCAGAGAAAGAGAAGGGGAGCCTGAAGGGCCTGGGCTGGGAGTCTAGAGATGCAGGTCTCTGCTTCTGTCCTCTCCCTTGTGTTAGTAGGCAAAGCTCCTAGCCTCTCTGGGACTCAGTTTCCCTATCTGTAATACTAGGTAGTTGAACTCAATCTTTAAGGTTGAGGGGCCCCAGGCCAAATATGACCCACCAGTGTATTTTGTAATATCTTCGCATGAGTCACCTAACCTCTGAGCCTCAGTTAGCATATCTGTGAATGGGTTTGGGGGAGGATTAAATGAGACCATGAGAGTGCTTAGCTAGGTGTGTAGTTGGTGTGTGGTAAATGACAGCTGTGATGATGGTGATGGTTCTCAGCAGGGCCCATGGCGGACGCCCAGTACATCCTGCCCAATGACATCGGTGTGTTTAGCCTGGACTGCCGGGAGGCCTTCCGTCTGCTGTCACCCACAGAGCGCCTCTATGCCCACCATCTGTCACGGGCTGCCTGGTATGGAGGCCTGGCTGTGCTGTTGCAGACCTCCCCTGAGGCCCCCTACATCTATGCGCTGCTCAGCCGCCTCTTCCGTGCCCAGGACCCCGACCAGCTGCGCCAGCATGCCCTGTCTGAGGGCCTTACCGAGGAGGAGTATCAGGTCAGTTCTTTTAGGTCATCCGACATTTCCTGAGTGGCTTCTGGGTATGAGGGACCACAAGCAGAGGTGCAAAGGTCTTTCTCTGTAGATTAGACCAAGGGCTACAAATACAGGAACCTCTCCTGGAGCCTCAGTCTTCTCATCTAGAAAATGTGCATGAGGGTCTGTACCTCCTAGGGTTGCAGTGACCTGACTGCAAGATAAATGGTGGCCGCTGTGAGTAAAGGAAACAGCTACGGACACTCCGAGATGGTAGAGGAGTGAGTCCAGGGTAGGAATCAGGAGGTCTGAGATCCGAACCAGATCTTTCTCTGGCATGTGTGGGTCCCTGCCTGTCCCCTGGCTTTTGTTTGTTTGTGGGTCTGTTGGCCAAGTAATATTTAGATGTATTTGTAGTGCATTGCCACAGTGCAGAAAGGCACAAAATGAAACACGAACGTTGGATGGTGGGGTGTGCAGCCTTTTGAGTCCTCTGTCTGTGTATTGCATTCCTACACATGTACATGCACACGTGCACTGGTTCCTCATTTTGTCTTTTATGTAAATGAGATCATGCTCTCCATGTTCTTAGGAGTTCTGCTTTTTTCTTTCTTTCTTTTTTTTAATTGAACACCACGTCTTGGAGAACTTCCACGGGGTACATATAAATCCAGTTCATCCTTTTTGTTGACCGTGAAGCACTCCACTGCAGTGTATACCATAATCAATTTAATCTTTTCCTTATTGTTGGACATTTGGATTGTTCTTGATTCTTCCTAGAAATAGTGCCACAGTGAGCATACTTGTGCCCCTGTGTGAGTAGGATCTATTTCTAGAAGTAGCATTGTTGGATCAAAGGCTCTGTACGTTTACAAGTGATTGATGTTGTTAAACCATCTTTACAAAAGTTTCACCAAGAATGTATGAGAAAATGGCCTGTGTTTCTACATGTAAAATAAAGGGATTGGATTGCTTATCTCTGAGCTGAGGCCCAGGCTGTTTCTTCTCCCTTTCTTTAACTTAGTAATCACATCCCATTTCTAGACCTTGACTTACTCATTAAAAGAGTTAATGGCTGGGGAAAGTGCAAGCTAAGTATTACTGTTCTCAGTGGGATACTTTTGCTTGCAAATAGCAGAAATCCACCTCAAATTGGCTTAAGTGAAAATGAAAATCATGACTTCCGGTTTCTAGTCCAGCATGTAAGTAGCTTATAAGTCACCAGTCTGTCCTAGCAAGTAAAATGTGAACTAACTGGAACTAACTGGAAAAATCAATAACGTTTCTTATGTCCTTAAGAGAAGTGAGGGCACAGGGCTAACTGCTGCCCCCAAATTGGAGAGACAGACAGGTGGGTACAGAGAATCACAACTCACCAGCGTAAAAATTCATGAACAGAAGCCTCCCCCAGAGCTGGTGCTGGAGTCGGAAAACCTGAACTGTGATTGACAAATCACTGGAGGCTCAGTGTGGACAGCTCTGAGAGTTAAAAACTCCAGGAGGACCCACGCAGAGGAGGGGCCTCCACACTTTTGGGAATTTGGGGAGTTTTACCTCCAGGATCTTGGTCCTCACAATGAATTTCAGAGAAAAAGCCCCTTGTGCTTCTGGCAGGGGGAGGGGAAAGGGAATCATTTTTGAAAAAATGCCAGAACATTCTGTTCTTCACAGTTTGCTCTCAGGAGAAACTGTATCTCTAGAACCTAGCCTGCTAGGGTTTTATCAGAGCCTAACTGACCTGGGTGGAGGAAAATATCCCATTCCAGACAGTTCTCGTCATCCTGTCCCACCTAAGGGGGAGGGTGGGGACGCGGGACTGAGAAGCACATGTAAAGTTCAGTGAGGTAAAAGCTCACTGAAAGACTGCTGAGACCTAATCGTGGGACTGGAGAATGCTTCTCCTGCTCCCACACCTTACCATCGCATTACTAAAGGCCTATTTACAGCAGTTCCTTTTACCCAGTGCATCATGTCTGGCTATCAAGAAAAAATGACAAAACATACTAAAGGCAAAAAACGCAGTTCGAAGAGACAGAGAAAGTACCCGAAGCAGATTCCGACATGGCAGGGATGTTGGACTTACCAGACCAGGAGTTAAAACAACTGTGGCTGATATGCTAAGGGCTCTAATGGAAAAAGCAGACAACATGCAAGAACAGATGGGCAGAGAGATGGAAATCCTAAGAAAGAACCCAAACTGCTAGAAGTCAGAAGACACAGAAATGAAGAATGCCTTTGCTGGGCT